TAAGAGTATCGGTATAATTTAATATTTCGCGAGGTATTTCAAGGCGCAGACGAGGCACACAGCAGAAATTGATAGACCCCACTCCCTCCCCTGCAATTTGCCTCAGCCTGTCCCGACTACTGAAGTTATCTTAGACCCTGCTCCTCCTTGTTGGAGTGTGAATAGGGGAATGCATTTTAAGTGAGAACCAGTAACTAATGGACTGAGTGATGCACATTTACATTTTATCAATAGCTAAAATACAATATGAAGTAAAATAATGTAAGTTCAAATGTACCTACGCAGTTAATGACAATTAATTTAAAATACAGATTTGACATTTTATATGGAATATTTCAGTTACAAAGGTATACCTTGGAAAAAATGCGTTCTTTTTTTTTAACTCAGATCATCTCATATAAAATATCTGACTGGACAAGTGTTTGGTCGGGTGTGTCGCTACCAATTAACTGACTACAATATCTGTTGCACTGCTGCATTGTGTAATATGCAGTGATTTAATTGGGTAGTGCTCCTTTGGGCAGGTCAAAGCTTGGCTTTGACGAAGAATGGTTCTGTCAAAAAGTATCCATATGTTGTCAACTACTGCATCGAAGAATTTGAAATTCGGCATGTAAGCGGTCGGTTTTGCAGTGCGTAAAATGAGTTAGGGAGTGTTTTACAAAATTGTGTATCTGTGCCAGAATGGCACGAAAAAGACAGACATTGCCAGACAGATTATTGTGTCACACGGAATGGTCCACACAGTTTTATAAAGTTACGCCCAGACTGATGTACCTACACAGAGACCACGCCCAATGTATCGAAATCTTACCATCAGGGTACAGTGTCTCACTTTCCTTCCTGATATGCTGCTGCAACTGAACACAAACCACCCAGTCAATTCACAGTGGGGGGCAAATTGCCACCAAAACGTGCTTTTCAAGGCTCTTAGCGAAAACCAAACTGGTTTCAGCAGGTTATAATACCAGACGACCTCTGAGGAAGCTACTGTAAACAGCAAAACAGCGTCGTCTGTTTCTCTAATGAATTGAGGACCATGACCGTTTCTGGGTAGAACACTGAGACCGCGTGGCTTTCTTTATTAAGGTCAGATTTCACCTGTACCGCTCAACTGGTCAAAACAGAGTTTACAGACATCCTGAGAGGCCAAGGACGAAGCGTGTGCAGCTTCTAAAGATATATACTACGATTATTGGCAACGTCAGTATTTGGTGTGGATATCACATTGGTGCCAAAAGACCAGTGGTAGTCATCGATGAAAACCTGAACCAGATGAAATTAAGCAATAATCTGGGAATCAATGTGGTATCATTTGATTGGGGGCACCTTAGGAACAATGTTAGGTTAGGAATGAGCAGCTGTCTTGGTAATCAAAATCGCCATTTTTGAACCACATAGACAATATGTGAGTAGGTCATTACTCGCCGAGTTAACGGTCTGCATGTTCTACAACAAAACTGAACCAAATTGGTCAAGTTTTGACCGTTGCCTGGATTTTTATTCCAGATTAAAATCTAAAAACCTATCCCATTGAATGCCTTGCCGCTAGAAAGCTCTGGTAGCAGCCAGATGAGGTCAGGCGTAACAGCGACCGTTGCTGTGACAAGACACTGACATGAGGGTCCTTTGTGGGGCGTGTAACTCTTTTAAAGACGAAAATTTGGAGAATATGGAGATCCAAAATATCGCTTTCAGTAGTTTTCTTATGATTTAGAATGGGCAATGTATTTTTGTTTGCTGCACTGGCGAATTCAATAAATGGTCTGATGTCACAATGACATCAAACAGATTGTTAAAAGTTATTAAAACACGATTTCAATCCTTATTTTCATCTATCTGTCTCAACTAATCAAAACAGAGTTTACAGACATCCAGAAGAGGCCTACGACGAAGCGTGTGCCGCGTCCAAAGTGACTACGGTGATTCACAGCGTCAGTATTTGGTGTGGATACCACACTGGTGCCAAAACACCAATAGAGTCATCGACAAAAACCTGAACCAGATCAAATAAAGGAATAATCTGGGCATCACTTGACTATCATTTGAATCATTTCACCATAGGAACAATTTTAGGTTGCACGGTGAGATTGCCGCTTCACACAGAACACATTTAAAAGCAGGTAACTTACAAAACCAAGGGAATGAGCAGCTACCTTGGTCATCAAAATCGCCATATTTGAACCACATAGACAAAATGTGGGTAGGCAATTACTCGCCGAATGTCCTACAACAAAAACTGGACCAGATTGGACCAAGTTTTGACCGATGCCTGGAATGTTATTCCATATTGAACTCTAAAAACTTATCCCAAGGAATGCCTTGACGCTTGAGAGCTCTGGTAGCAGCCAGAAGAGGTCAGACGTAGCAGGGACCGTTGCTGTGACTAGACACTGACAAAAGGGTCCTTTGTGGGTCGTGTAACTCTTTCACAGGTGATAATTTAGAAAATATGGAGATCCAAAGTATCTTTTTAATGGTCGTCGTATGTCATATAATAAGCAATGTAATTTTGTTTGCTTCATTGGCGAATTCAATTAATGAACTGATGCCACAATGACATCAAAGAGATAATTTAAAGTTATTAAAACACAAATTTAATCCTTATTTTCATTTATCAACAGCAAAATAGGAAAACATGATGAAAGGTAAATTGGAAAAAAATATTCCATATTTAATGTCAAGTCTGTACATTTACTGTTAGTCTAATAATACTCACTTCCCATTTCAGTAACATTTTTATGATTCCTATTACAACCAAACAAAAAGATGAAAATTGTATATACATACAAGTGAAAATACATGCAAAGATATGAGGGTAAATAAAGAAAAATGCTTGTTATTACATTGATATCTTCATTAAGTTCAATTTAAACTGAATAATAAATTCATAATTAATTACAGTTATAAACATTGTTTAATAGTTTAACAAACAAATATATAGAAAGTTGCAAAAAAAATACTAAATCTAGATAATTCCTAAACATGACATTTCAACAAACCTATGGCATAGACAAATAACTAATTAAATGTAATATATTTATTACAAACAAAAGCTAGACACAACAAAACAAGTTCAGATAAAGCAAGTGTTTGAGTAAATCATCCTCCTTTTGTTTATTTACATTAAAACAATCTAATATTGGCACAATGCTTATTTTTCTCCTCTCTTTATAAAAAATTACTAATTTAAGGATAAACCAGAAATTGATCGTGCAGAAAAAGGAACTTGGCGACTTTGTGTCCTTGTTAGTTCTGGATTTCTTGCACTCACTGGAGTCTGACGCTCATTGGACAATATGGTGGTGTCCTGACTACGGGAAGGCCCTGGTGACTGCTTATAGTGTTAGGATTCATAGGCATTTGTTGTCCGCTTGGATTCATGGCGGTAGCCTGATCACTCAAGGGAACTGTGGGCTCTTGACTGCTGGCTTGCAGTAAGGAATGTTTGGTTGGCTGCAGCATACTTGTGTAGGTTGGCAACGGCAAAGTTTCTGCCATTAAGTTTCTGTTGCCCATGTCAGCTGTGGCCTTATGTTAACAGTTTCATCTACTGACTCACCAACATCCCTACCAATTGATCTTAGTTTGTCTTTTAAGCTGTCTCTTTCAATTTTTCTGTTTGCAGCCGTAAAACTTCTTGTTTCTCTTGGTGTAATTTTTTTCATTTTATGTGTGAATAGAATACTTCCACAGTCCTCAGCTTTGAACCCAAATAAATCTTACCATAAGTTTACAAAAGAAAAACTTTTGTGTAACTCCAACATTAATGCTATAGATGAATAACAATGCCTTATTATGCTCAAACACATTGGGGTTATTTATATCATGTTAATACAGCAAGATTAAAAGTTTGAATAGCAGCTTTATTGGAATATTTTTGTTGTGTTTTCTTTTAATTTTTTTTTTCAGACACTGGCATTTTCAACTCCCATCCACCTGAAGCTCTTCACATTTTCTGTATTTCCACATAAGCAGTTGCATTGGTTTTTATGTCTTTAAACATTATGTAATATTATTTTATGCATTATCATCATTTATCAAATATTGGGGTTTTCATTATGTGAATTTGAACTCTCATGGTCCTGAAACTGTAATCTTACTGCAGGGGCGGAATGAGACCGTCTTCTGGGTCTTCTGGCCAGTGCTCATGTACAGGTTCTGGGTCTTCCAGATGACGGTCAGATTTTAAAGTTTACATTGACGGGTATCTATTTTTTTCTGTTGGAAGACCATCAAAAATGGAAAAATGGAGGATGGATCAACAAAGATAATTTGGAATGCTGTCAGAAAATATCTATAGATCTGCTCCTGTTATTGACCATGTTAACTGTTGTGCATGCTTAAAATTCAGTGTTGATTGACTGCTATTATAAGCATTATTTATTATTGCATCAAAATTGACAAAATGACTCATTTTCTGCATTTTTATTTTCTGCTTTTGTCTGTACAATTGACAACTTTGCTGCCTTGTTTCATTTACATATCTGTTTCTTTGTAAGATAGCATTTGATTTGTAAATGTTTTCGGGCTGGGCAGACCGAAGATCTTGGAAAACACGTAGCAGAGACACTGACAGAGGTTCTATGGTATATAAGCTCTTATGCAGAGAGAGACTGGTTAGCTTAGTGCTGCCTTACAACTTTTTTTCAGGTGTCAAGATAAACAAAAAAAGAAGTGTTAGAAAGTATGGACCCCTGAAAGGAAAAATGAAGGAAGAAGAAAATAACAAGAAACTACTTAAACTGTTGTTTTAACCTTCTGGTGAATGTTGTTATAATATTATTACAGTGAAGTTAGAGACCATTCCCACAGTAATTTAGATCGATCTATCTCCCTAGGGAGTCTCACTAAATTGCTGTCAACTAGGCCGGCCTAAATGTCTGTTACGCTTAGTAAAGCTGTTAGGGGGTAATTATCTTTACCCTAGCTGATTCGGTAGGCGTGACAGATGTTTAAGCCTCTTGAGATGATAGCAATTTAGCGTGAACCCCCAGGGAGTTAGGTGGATCCAGATGGATCGATCTAAGTATGGGAACCCATGCATAGTGAAGACCTTGATATGGCCAGTGCTCATGTACGGGTTCGAAGGATGGGTAATCAAAAAGGAGGAAAAACGAAAAGATGCAACTGAAATGTAAAATTATCGAAGAATGTTACGCATCTCATGGTGGGAAAGGAGAACGAACGACAGTGTTCTTGCGGAACTTGGACTTACGAATGAATTATTGAACAAGATCAAGGAAAGGAAGCTTATTTTTTCTGGGCCACCAACTGCGATTGGAAAATTAGAGTTGTTTACATCAACATTTCTACGCGTTCCAATAAAGACAAAACGAGGCAGGCTGAGGTTTGGATGGAAATCCAACATACAAAAATGGACAAGAAAAAAGTTTAACAGAGGTCACGAGGACAGCAGTTGATAGAAAGAAGTGCAGGGACTTGGTCCATGGAGTGTGCCGACAATCTTCGATATGTGGAGGATCGGGGCGATGATGATGATAATTATTACAGGTTATGCTTGAAAATAGGATTCATCTAAAACCATTTTCAATTTGTGACCTTTAACTTCCATGGGCCTGAAGCCCAGTGCTTATTAGATTTTATTGAGCTGTACACTATGTATAGGCTACTTAAAATTTAGTTTTATTTGCATCATTTTTCCTTTTATGCAGTTACAAAATAAAGATCCATTGCTGTTTGTCTTAACACTAAGTCAATGTTAAATCAACTGTAAATCAATGTAAAATTAATTTATACTCAACGTCGAGATTTATAATATTCAAACAACATTGTGATTATTGTGATTCAATGTTGAATTCCAACATTGATTCAGTGTATTTTTTCAACGTTGACACAAATGTCCACTTTCAATAATAAGTTCAACAAAAACTCAACGTTGTGAATCAATGAAGAATCAACACTGAATCAGCTGTTGTATTCCTGTTTGGGCATGCACTCTCTTTCATGAAAGAAATGCAGTTTTGCTTCGGCATCAGTTCCCCACATCCGGTCAGCGAGGTGTGGAGCCAGCACGTCTTGGAGTTTTGATTCCAATCCGTTGCCAAGCAACTAGGTATGCCGTCACACAAGCGCGTGCAGGACACAGAGCTGTCGAACGTTCCTAGGTACTGTTCCCCTCCTTTGATGTGGTAGCCATTGTAACGGTAATAGAATTGTAGGGGCTGATCACCTGAGATAAGAATGTATGCTGCAGGTAGAAGGTTATTTAAAAACTGACACTTATAAAGACTATAGGACAGTGGAAATCTTTCTGTGGATTGAAAAAGGTGTAGACACGTTCAAGGGGTATTTTTTGTAACGATTTATTCCTAAAAGATGCATACATGTATCAAGGCAATTTTTTGCCACAAAAACCAACCAAATGCCAGCATAAAATTTCGAAAAGTATAACTACAGGGTTACCACTTAATATGGAATATTATTTTTTGGCGAGTAAATTTTTTACAAAATATTTGATTTCTCTCTAACTACTTTAAATCCAAAGCTGAGGTGTCACTCCATGTGTAGCCAGGTGTGTAACCTAATTACCACACAACTCTCGTAGCAATTGATGCATGCAGTTGCATGTTCTGTGGTCAGAAATGTGAGGGGTGGTCTTTTCGGCAATTTCTGCCCTTGTGGGTTTGGTCAATCTTTGGAGTGTGTTTAGAGAAGCAACAAAGGGGTCGCTCTGACACTTGACAGGTACATGAGTGAAGATATGGTTCGACAGCTAAGCAACGCAGCTTACTATGGGATTCCTGCTCTCAGAGAAAATGGCCAGAAACGGACAGCCATTGCCAGGTAATTCAACATTTATCAGGAACCGTTTGTGAAGTCCTCCAAAGAAAAGCTGCAACAGAGGAACCTACTCCAATACCTCGACCAGGGTGTCCGCGTATCACACCAAGAAGACAGGATCGCCTTCGCCGTGCTGGTCGTACAAATACAACCAGTGTCCTCAGAAAAGAGAGGCAGAATGTCATTCAAACGCCCGTTTCAAGGTCCCACGTGAACAAGAGATTTCTGCAAGCCGGTTATTTTGCATGAAGGCCAGTAGGGAAACCACTTTTAACAGCAGGTCATATACAGCGACGTCTGCAATGGGCTGGGGACCACGTGCGTTTGCAGCCAAAACACTGGAATCACGTTGTTTTCAGTGATGAGGCCAGATATGGATTTTTTTAGGGTTGGTCGTCGAATCCGTGTCCACCGACGTGTACGAGGGGCATAAAACAATGATTGTGTACTGCCTAAGGTGCAAGCAGGGGATGGTAACGTCTCTGTTTGGGGAGCATTTCATGTCGGTGCCCAGAACCAGTTGGTTTTTCTAGGAGGCAACCTCATCCAGGATTATTACAGAGACATTCTATAGCAAACAATGCTTCGATTGGTAAGAGTCACCTACCCCCCACGGTACTTGGTGTACCAAAACGACTGCGCAACCCCACATCGAGGCCGCAGAATCACTGTTCTTCTTCAAAACCAATGGGTTCAGCAACTGCCCTGGCCTGCAAACTCTCCAGATATGAACCCAATTGAAAATTTGTGGGTGAAAGTAACTCACAGAATTAATAGCTATGGTCCTCGGCCGGTAAATAGTGATGAACTGCGACAGGCAAATATTACTGCGTGGGATGATATCCCCACCCAAACTCTAAAAAACGTGTCACAGGGTATGCCATGTAGGATGAGGGCGCTGCAGGCGGCTGCTGGAGGTCATACCCGCAATTACTGAATTTTCATGATTTACTGTAGTGAGTTCTTTGACTGTGTAACATATCACTGTCCGGAGGCTATCATTTTCTTTAATATGTTAGCTTAAAGTTAATACTGACATCAAACTGTTGATATGGTTTTCTGGGGGTGTTCCTTTCTTTTGAATGGCATCTTATGTCAGATTTGATATTATTGACCAAAATATCTCACAACAGAAGACTGGATGTTATTATCACTCAGTGACATACTTTTTTACTGACTCAAGCCAAAAAAAATTAATCAGCACTCAAAAATAACAATGATAAAAAATATTCCATATTAAGTAGCAACCCTGTAAGAGAATTACCAAAAGGCTTTCAGTCATATGGAAAATGGCTGCGCGTAGGAAAATATTCAGAACGGAGCGCGTGCGCTGAGATGACGTCGCGGTTGAAATTTTGTAAATTGCGTAACCATCGTGGGAATTCGTGAATTTTGTTTAATTACCCTCATGCATGCTTGTAAAGAATTAAGACGTGATAACAGAGTTCACCACACGTCTTGACTCGTGCGATTTACCCATAAGTAAGCAGAAATGAATGAGCCAGAACACCAGGAAGTCGGAGTACGGGTCAATTTTGGCCGTAGCAACACTATAACAATTTGAGATTGAAAAATAAGAAAAATACGTGTCAAGTTTCATCGAAATTTATCGTGGCAACTTTTTATGCGAGCTGTTGAAGTGAGCTTTCTGACTCTATTCTGCTAGATGTCAGCCATATCCTGAAATCATATTATCCGGTTACATCCCTATACGTCCCCGCACCGATACTCCCCCGCACCGGTACATCCCCGAACCAATACTCCCCCACATCATTGCTTCCCTGCATCGATACTGAGATACTGATATAGGTCAACATATCATCTCCTGCATAGGCCTAAATGATAAACCCAGCTCCTGTCATTATAAACGATAAAATACCATTGATAAAATCTTACAGAAGGGGAGCAATTTTCAAAATGCACTTTCAAAGGTATACAGAGCTGCCTTTCGAAGGTCGTTCAGAAAAATAGACAGAGGAACTAGTAGATCGATTGCGTTCGACTCAACATTGTTCTCAGTTTAGTTTTCATTGCATTTGAATAAAAATCTTAACTTCCAACGGTGTGAAGGTCGAAAATTTCACTGTTTGACAGAGGTATCGAGAAACGTAATTTTTTTTTTTTTTTTTTTTTTTTAATGTTGAATCCGGGAGTAGTGTGACTATACTATCTAGAGATAACACATTCTTAAAACTTTGAAAATTTAAACTCAATATAATATTGTAACTTATATCTAAAAATGAAAACAATTCAGGCTTGCAACTTTTTCCTCGCACTATAGTCCCACCCCCTACGAGATTCAATTTTTGCTTCATTTTTTTTCCGAAGTTCAAAAATCGTGTCCGTATTTCATTTGGTTACATCCCTATACATCCCCGCACCGATACTCCCCCGCACTGATACTCCTGCGTACCGATACTCTGCAAAAACACTACTCCCTCACGACTTTGTTCGTTATAGATGTGAGGGCGTGCGCCGTACTCAACATGCAAAGGGCACTTTCTCCTTCATTGCTTGCGACGTGCATCTTGGACCAGGCAAGTCTCATTGCAAACTCCTTGCAAACGCCTTGCGAAGGGAGCAAGTCACGCTTGCTGCCTCGCTGTTCGCAGATTATTCGTAGAATCTATTGGAAATGTGCAATATCCTTCGTACGTGCTTACATACGTGCGAACTCGAAATTTCACATAAAGGACTTGCGTGGCACATGAGATTCTCCGCAAAATTTGAACTCTTGAAAACGGGTCGTAAGAGCCAGTGCGGCCGGTTGTGACCGAGGCTAATGTGTTGTCGTCCAAGATTTTTGAGGAACTTTGCGGCTTCTTTTGTACAATACCGATGTTCAATTTTAAGCAATTAAGATGTGTATGCACCGCGCAATAGCATAAAAACAACATCACCAAGGATTTTCCTGCGGCCATTTTTTCCACATATCTCACCAAAATCCAAAGCGTTTTTCCATTTGAAAAAAGTATTTCTTATACAGTGTAGGGCGTGCTTCCGACTCGTGACCAATTTATCAAATGTATATGTGAAACAATATCGATGTGAGGTGACAGACTCCCCCATGATAGACAATCCGGTTCCCTTCAATTTGCATAGGTAAGCCCCTCCCTAGATTTTGACCCACTTACGTAGACTGACCCTAACCTGTATAATTACATGGAGGATTGACTCTCTGTTACCCAGACCCTAGGTTTCGTGGAAATTGCATAGGGGGAGTAATGATACGGGGGAGTATCAGTGCGGGGGTGTAACGGTGCGGGGAAACAACAATGCGGGGGAGTAACGGTGCGGCGCAGTATCGGCATGACCCCTTTCATTCATAATTAATGCTCATTTGCGTCATTCTTTGAAACCACGAGTAAGAGTGCATGTTTTTTCTATATGTCTATATAAAATGACTGCACAGAGTGACCTTGTTTGATTTTAATAGAGCTTTATTTGCAAGGTATGGTTTTTCACGTCGGCCATCGCAGTTGTCCAGTAACGGTGCTATTTTGTGACGCGGACTCACTGAAAAATTTCAAATAACCGCCATGACGTTAAGTTTTTAAGCCAGTTGCCATCTGACTGTTTGTTCAATATTACTCGAAAAATGATATTTGAAAGGATTTTTCTGCTAGCTTTCTATGCTGAAGGGGCAGAAAAGTAGGTCACATAAGTAGGTTAAATTCCTGACCAAAAATTTAAAGAAAGGAGCAGTCTAAAGCTCTTTTGTGGTTGATCGAGTGATTTATTCAGTTTATACCTTGGCATGTCAACTTTATTTGAGTCATGTAAAAACTACATGTAGTAGAAGTGGTTTATATGGCTTACTGGGAGTCCACGCTCCACCAATGCCCAGTTCATATATACCTTTAATTATTTCAGATTAAAAAAAAAGAAATTCGAAACTGAGAATAAGATATCCAAAAAAGTTGATTAATAGATATTATTTGATATGCACCTCCAAACAACAATTAATTTATTCACTTTCTTCTTTAAGGGGGAGGGGAGTGGTTTCAGCAAGAATATTAGAAGACAGGTTAAAATAAATCAACGTACCAACACACGCCGTTTTCTTCCCCAGGCTGATTGAAGATGGCCTCGGCATCAACACCCCGCACGCGGTCTCGGCGTCATGGAACCAACACGACCGAATGATGCCGTCCCAGTCTGTTGCTAGGCAACTAGACATGTTGTGGCACGCGCGCATACAATCAATGTAGTTGTGGAAGGTCCCAGGGTAGGGCCTACCCCCGTAAATGTGGGCACCGTCATAGCGGTAGTAAAACTCTGAAACTGAGAGAAAAAACTGTGAAAATTAAAATCATATTGCAAATACAGGGTTACTATTTAATATGGAATATTTCTATCTGTAACACCTGACAAAATTTAGCTATCTGAACATTTAACCTAACTATTAAGTTTTGCCCTGTATTGCCAATGACTAATAAAAGTAGGTTTTAAGGTGCTGACCCCTATTGCTGATAGAAAGTATTAACTAGCAAATAGTTTCTTTTGATTGTCTTTTAATGACATTCCTTGAGGGGGTTTAAATTTCCTAGCACAGCACATTCCTTTGTTCTGTTCTTGAGAGGAAGAAAACGCGTTTTCATAATCCTAGAAGTTGCTTAACCAAGTGTATACCTTTGAGAACCCTGTCCAACCAGGAATGTGAGTAAAATTGTTTTTAATGTCTTTTTTTTTTTTTTTTTTTTTTTTTTTTTGTAACTAGAGAAAAATTAAGATGCGCTTAATTAAGTGAATTGTTGTTTTTGGCTTGTTTTCTGCTGTCTCACGTTACACAAATTGTGCTAGTTGTCTCAAAGATGTTGGGTGCCTAAATTGTGCCATATTGTGCTATTGCAGATTTCTCAATTACAGCATTCTAGATTATTCCCATTGTAATTATTGTATTAAAGTAGTTAAATATTTAATTATTTATTTATTTTTTTTATTTTATTTCAGTCAAAACCGTCGTTGATTGATGAGTATTTTATAACTGGTAGACAGAGAGGAGAATAAACAACCTATATCACCCCAACAAGACTCGATCTATTCCTTTTCTAACACTACGTGTGTTACACTATCATTGTCATTTTGGAGTGCTGATTAAATTTTTTTTTTTTTTGGCTTGATTCATCAAAAAAGTATGTCTTTGAGTGATAAAAATATCCAGTCTTCTATTGTGAGATATTTTGGTCAATAATATCAAATCTGACATAAGATGTCATTTAAAAGAAAAGAATACCTCAGAAAACCATATCAACAGTTTGATGCCATTATTGACTTTACGCTAAGATATTTAAGAAAATGATAGCCTCCGGACAGTGATATGTTACACAGTCAAAGAACTCATTACAGTAAATCATGAAAAGTCATCAGCAGCGGGTATGACCTCCAGCAGTTGCTTGCAGCGCCCTCATCTTACATGGCATACCCTGGTTACAAGTTTTTTAGAGTTTGGATGTCCGACAGCAGGAATCCCAAGAGTAAACTGCTTTGCTTAGCTGTCGAACCATATCTTCTCTAAGGTACCTGTCAAGTTTCAGAGCGATCCCTTTGCTGCTTCTCTAAATACACTCCAAAGACTGACCAAACCCATGCGTTTTTATACATATGCAGAAATTGCCGAAGTCAGTAAATAAGCAACTAGATAGAAAACAGCCATGAACGACTGAAAAAAGTTGCACAAACATTAATTTATTTATTTAACATTAATTAACTAGTGCTAAAGCAGCAGGGTGGCGCATCCATTCAAATGGGTCACTTGTCGGACTGGATTTATTTACTTTTGCTAATGAACCCTTCATTTGTATGTACGCACACAAGTTCTTGTATACATTATTGTAGGTGGCAACAATTTGTGTAGGGCGACAAATTGTGCCGAAAATGCCTACACAGTTGGTCGCCACCTAAGGACCACAAATTGTGCCGGCGACAATTTGTGCCGACAGCCCCTGCACAAATTGTCGCCAGCAGTCTTACAGATAGCATTATCCAAAGATGTGAGCCCATTGTGCCCAAACCCTGGGGTTTTATTATAAAGGTCATTTAATGTAATGTGGGGCCAGGATGGTCTTAAGAGGGTTCCCTACAAGTGGTGAGCTCGCCAGGACAACACTATCTATAATACTGCTACAGAGATTCCCAGGTTCCATGTCTTCAATTTCGCACACGGAAAAGAATGAAACGACTCCATGTTGTAACTTCAACAGAATATTTATGTCTCCTCCATCCCAGTGTACCACAAACTTGCATAGTCCCATTCATAACAAAGGAGAAGGCAACAAAGACTGTCGGTTGTTCGTGATTTGGCCAAACAAACTAAAACAAACAAATAAAAAAAAAGGGGAGTAGGGGTTAGGTCACCCGCTAACAGCATTGTCATGCGGTACTTATGTAGAATTGTATTGCGAGTCCTGCAATGCATTGGCCTTGCCTTTGCAATTAGACAAGCTAAATTAGATGCACTACTGTTGTCAAATAATTGCTTATCGTGGATCACAGCTTACGGTAACCGTTGCATAGTGGGGGCCTCTTGGCAACCCCACAAACGAAATTTGTGCGAAATTGTTTGAAAATAATAACTTTTGCTGACTCGTCACATCATAATTTTTAGGATGATTATTTAACATTTCATGTTTACTTTTTATCCCTAAGGCCATAACATTTAATGCAGGCAACAATTTGCTACATTATTATTACTGTTAAAATTATTAGGATAGTGAGTTTATATGATAAAAGCGGCCTTGTTTGGCCAAATCACGAATAAAATCTCGTTTGACTACGCCAAACTTTTCTATTTTACTACACTAAAATTTACAAGTATGACCTCTCTCTCCTCCTCTCTTTCCATCTCCTCTCTACATATTGCTCTCCCTTTCTATCCAGTCTGGCAGTCTCACTTCTCTACCTATTCATCTCCTAGCTTTAAGTTCACAAGTTGTTATGCTAAACTTTATCTACTAAATTGTCAATCACATAACTTAAAAAACTGACTGGTTACTTCAGACACAAGTCTACCCCCTCATGGTGGGCACTCCCATTAACTCCCATGTAATCAAGCTCTGACAGATTACTATCTTGAAACAATGGACATTAAAATTTGAACTGCAAGGTGTGAAGTATTATCTGAAGCAACTTATACAACATGGCTTCCCATGTAGGAATTTTTGAAACAATGGCTTCCTCTGACTGAATTAATACTACATTATGTATGAAAGGTTTAAAAGTACTAATTACACTTTTTCTATACTGTGGTTCCTGACAACACACACACACAGCCATTTAGAATAGAAGATTCTAATACCAACTATTCCAAGGATCAAATATGGCGGACCCTACATGAAAGGAAGACCATTTAACCATGCAGTGGTTTCTCCGCCTCTCACATGCGTCGTCCTTGCAGGGGCACAGTAAATAAATCTCGGCTCTATTCCATTTTCTAGCATTGCAATAGTTGTGTTTTCATGGTTAATCGAGTTACATGTACAAATGAAATATCAGCTATAACTTATTTTATTTTTCTTAATCAATTAAAGAAAAACTTAAAAGTGGTCTGAATTTGACATATCTCAATTGACAGACATGATGAAAAAACATTTCTTAGGTTTAAATTTTCTAAAAAAACATCGCCATTCCTTAATATATATTAAAATCAATATAGTTAAGGCGTATTACTACTTATCTTCTTTTTTCATGAAGAATATGAAATTACATTTCGTAAAAGGAGAGTCATGCTGTCACTGTGAAATCTCTCCTAGTACCCGCACGAAAATTTTTCTTCCAGTTTAAAGTTGGTAAATAATGTTGCATTTGTATTATTTTGCTTAAAACCACGTGAACATTAACATCCTTGAGTGTTTGACTGGTTTCGCACCAGTTTAGACAACAGTACAATTTAAGCTGTATAAAAATAAAATAGAATCTCAGCAAATATGTATTTTATATTTTAAAAAATGATAACGCTTGTTTCGCCCTGGCATTGTAGGCAAGGCACTGCATTTTTACATTTGGAAACAAAAATGAAAAATAAATAAATAAATAACTTACTATTTTGTGCATCACATTGCGAGATTCTGGACAGTATCATCAGCAATGAAAATAAGCTGCCAAAACTTAGCAGACGAGAGACGCCGCCCATGATCGTCGGTAAACCCGTCGTCTGCGCGCTGCTCTCGCAAAAGAAAGAATGGTAAAATATAGAAATTAGCACCGCTTAAAAAGCCATACACATCTGCGGACGTTATTCATGAAATGTAAAACAAATACAAGACATGCAATTCAATGAAAACAATAAAATTTTAGAATTCCTGCATTTCTTAACAGGGCTGGGAGCAAATCCAGTTTTTAGTTTATTCGCCATACAATTTTCTCTTCTCATTAAATGTGGATTTTGGAAAAATGACAAAAAAGATAAGTTCGATCGCACGCAGTATGTTGATTGTATTTTTTATTTATTTATTTATTTACTTATATTTATTTCTGTCTCAAGAGTGAAATTCTGGCCCTCAATGTAAGGGAAATGGGTATTAAAAACATCCGACATTTTGACCTAAGACAAGGCCCGGTACAGGCCTCGGAGGGGCGGTCGTTTATGTTTGTAACATACCTTATTTTCAGAATGATACGCAATTCAAACATCTTGTGCTCTTTACGTTACATCCCTATGAAATGAATACATGTAACACTAATAAGGTAATTGCATGTTTAGTGCAGACGAATAATAAGTTAGTCGGGTTAATGTAAACAACCTTATCTAATACGATATTTCCAAAGCATCTTTTTTTGTATATACGAATGCATACGAAATGAACAAAACTTAGCTTAAAATGCTTCTAGGTTGTTTTATGTAAATTTATTGCCTTGTGCGTTATCTATGGTTTTTTAATAAACCTTGAAAATAGTGACATAAATAGTCACTATTTTGCTATAGGACCAGTATATTCGTAATTACAACATTGGTCAAAAAGGTTGTCCAACCCCAAATTCCATGTGCTTTTATTTACATATGATCACCTCACGGCTGTAAACAGTGCTCTTTATTCCAGATACCACTTCTAGCATGTTTTATGATTCGGAAAATACAGAAACGGTGAAAATATCCGTTTTTTATACCATTTTTTCAAATTTAAACCATGCAGCACCTCAAATCCAGTGTTTCACTGTTAAATCAATAGAGGATACAGAATGTCCATAAAATTAAAAAACACCACCATATTTCACTTAATTTATATGACATACCTGTATATTGTAGGATTTCATACATTTATATATTGTGCGATGTCATACCTGTATATATTGTACAGGGAGTGACAAAAGTATTGCACCATTTGTTTCTTTAAAGGGAACAACAGCTGGATTTGAAAGTTTTTCAATTGTGATTTTATTGAAAACTGATTGTGTCGAGCGAGTATCTTTATTTTACATGTAGGTTTACTGAACAGTGCATTGCCCTTACATAACACATGCTATTATGTCAGAATTAATATTTTGTAGGATAGCCACGTGATCTCTATATGGCCACAACCCTTATAGGCATAGACTGATAAAGGTCCATTCATCCTCTGGGGGCTGTGTTGGCCCAGGCTCTGAAGACATTTTTGATTAGAGAGTTTCTGGTAAAGGGGCGATCCTTTGCCATTTGATTTTCATTATCTTGCCACAGGTTTTCAATGGGGTTTGCGTCTGGTGATTGGGCAGGCTAGTCCACCCTGTTGATGCCATGCTGGTGAAGCCACTCTTGCGCTGTCCTAGCCCTGTGTGGTGTAGCGTTATCATCTTGAAATATAAACGGATGGTTCCTGTCCCCAAAGTTGTTGTGTTTTTTTCTACCGATGCTAAAAGGTCTAAAAGGTGTTTCCGTTTATCAACACCAGTTCAACAATGCCATAGAAACCAATGCACCTCTAAACCATTATTGAAGTGGACTGTCTAGTGAGGAAGTGCATATTCTCTGGCAGATGACAAGTGGGTGATGCTCTCCATACCCGCACTTAGCCACTCATTTGTTAACTGTGAATATGGACTCGTTAGAAAAAAACAAAATGGCGAAAATTCTGACCCACTGTCCAGGCAATGGTTCTGGCCGCCCTTGTCACTCTTCTGCGTCTGTTTACCAAGGTGATGAGTGGATTCTTCCTGGCAACCCTGATGTGAATACTCGAAGCATGGAGCCTTCTTTGTTCAGCTCTTTTGATAACCTCAACCTGAAAACTGTGCACCAATGCAACACTAATTCCCTGCACGGCTCAAACCTCCTAAGCCTTGACAGCACGGGGGATCCGTGCTGTCAAATGTACAGACAAAAAGGAGAAAATAAAAATGCACAAAAGAGGATCCTGTCAATTCTGATGAAGTAATGCATAAAATGTGTAACAAGCATAAGACCTAGATTAATCTAACAGGATCGATCCACCTCCAAGGGGTTTCTCACTAAATTGCTTTCAGCTTAAGTGGCTTAAGATTCTGTCACGCCAACTTCAGTAGGCGTGACAGACATCTAAGTCTCTTACATTGATTGCAATTTAGCGAGAATCCCCTAGGAGATAGAGGGATCCACAGTTAGCGCTATAGGGTCTGGAAATGGTCTCTAAGACTTCAGGTTGATAAGAGTTCAAGTTCATACTTTGAAAATGCCAGAATAAGAAAAAGTGAAATTTTCACAAAAACATAGCATAAATTCAATAAACAAATATAATTCAAGAGAGCTGTTTTTCTTATTTGAGCTGTATGTAAGTCCTTGTAAGTTAAAAAAACATATGGGAGTGAAAAGTCAAATCTTGAAAATGCCAGTTTGAA